TCGGTTTTGGTTTTGAAATAGAAAATTAAAAAAAAAAAAGACATTTGTTGTTTTTTATTTCTTTCACTATACTGCTTTTTAACCACTGGAACATGATTTTAAGTGTTTATATTTCTCTTTATAGGCAATGATGAGCAAGTTATACTCCATGATGTTGAAAGGTAAATACAAAGTTTGTATTTCCACTTCTTCAAGATCTCCATTAATGTCAACTCACTGGAGGAACTTTTTGTTTTAAATTAATGGTCTGGGAGAAGAGCACAGTTTCAATCCTGAAACATGCCTTTTATTTATCTAAATTCATATCTGGAATGAAGTATTCCCCATCACCCCATTTATGTGTTTTGGTGGGTTTTTTTGGCACTCGGGTTGTGCATCGTTTTGACCTTAGGAAAGAGAATGGTTATTAAATACATATGCTGTCCTGCAGGCAGCATAGTAGGTTCTGGGTAGATACCAAGCCAGATTATTTTGGCACATATAGAAATATTGTGGGACATATGGGCTTTTTGTTTGGTTTTTCAAAACACTCACCTGACTTGTATTTAAGAGTGCTTGGCCTACCTAACTGCTTCAAAACACTCACCTGACTTGTATTTAAGAGAGCCAGTGCTTGGCCTACCTAACTGCCTTTTCAAACTTTGGCTGCAGCTGCCTGATTCTCCAGACTAATGTGAAGCATATTTATTTTGATACTTGCTTTTTACCAAAAATGCAAAGCAATTGGGAATTAGGCTTTGTTGTGCTATATCAAGATTAGGGTGCTAGTCAAAATATAATTAATACAGTAGTGGTAATATATTAGATTGGAGTTCTCTAGATACCCTGTCTTTTAAGCTTGCTGCTTTTCAAGTAGAAAAACTGTAAAGTTTAAATTTTTGCCTGTACTAATAACTTCTACAGATTTAAGCAAAGACCATTTAAACAACTTGAACTCAAGAAAATCGAGTTCTTCTACAGATTTAAGCAAAGACCATTTAAATAACTTGAACTCAAGAAAATTGAAGTATAAAGAAAAAGCAGGAAGAGATATATGCAAGAACAGAGAAATATAAAACCTTAAATCTTTTTGAGTTGCCTGAATCCTGGTTAATATAATTTGGACATATTTCTTGCGAGTTTTGTCCAAAGCCTTTTGCATTGAACTGATCAGTGTACATCTGCCTTCCATCACACTTTGTATCTACTTCTTGTATAAATCTTCTACAAGAGAGATGGGCACAAGTAAATTTGTTTTACTCTTCTAATGCTTTCTCAGGAATATGATGTTGTTTGGGCGTGCGTTTTGTTTTGGTTTTGGTTTGGTTTGAGTTTTTGTGATTTTGAGGGGCTTCTTGGGTACCTGTTTTTTGTGCACTTTTTGTTTGTTTTGGGCTTGGGAGGGTTTTTTGTTTGGTGTTTTGGTTTTGTTGCTTTTTTGTTTTACTTAAATGCAGAAATGTCAAAATTTTAGATGGCAGTGTTTATTGTGCTCTGACTTCTCAAGCTTCTACAAGATCTTAGTCCTTGACAATTTTCTATGTAACACGTTTTTTCCTGCTATGTCTCGCTTAGATGTTTTAACAAATCTTTTGGATATGTATGCGTTTTTAATGTGCTTTTGTTATCGGTGGGGCGAGAGGGGTGTTAGATATACTAAGTCCAGTTGTAATGCATACAGAATTAATTTCTCTAAGGCTATTTGTGTGATCTTCTGAAAGAAACCTTACTAGTCTGACACTGAATTCTAATTAATTTCTGTAGAAAGTTGCTCTGTCTTCTTGAATGATAACACTTGGTGTATCAACCTTTTTCATACTTTTAAATGTTTTTTTTTCCATTACTGCATTTTTGGACTTTCTGTTAGTGGTCCATGATCTGCCAGTCAGTGGTTCGTAGATCTGCTAGTAAGAATATCAGTTGTCATGTGAGCAAAACAGTGATTTTATGTGGGATCTCTTTGGTGAAGTTTCTATGAGGCATAAGGATTGTATACAAAGTGTATTCTCTAAAGAAATAAACAAGCCCCAGATTTTCTGTATTACTATTTTAGCTTTTAGCCTCTCCATGCCACTGTTTCCTCATTTTTAAATGATCTAAAAAGTTGGGGAAAGAAGAGAGAACAGGCTTTTTCTTTTTATAGCTGCAGAATGGCTGAAGTCTGGGTACTTCCAGCAGACTTATTTTTATTATGTTCTTTTTTTGCTGCTTTTACTACCTGATAAAAATATAAGTCTGGTCTATCCTGGAAAACCAAGAAAACTTATTAAAAAAGCCAGCTGGAAAGTTGCTCTTTTGTGAGCTTCAACTGAACTTTTGGATGATGCAGAAGCTTGTATTAAAGAACTAACTTCTGTCTTGTTTTCTTTTTCACATGAGTAGTAAATATTTAGTTCCCAGGTCTCAAGACCTCTTTCCCTTTCCCATTACCTCCTTCCAAACTTAATCTAATGCAACATGATTTCTGGGTTTTTTTTAACTCTAATTAAACACAAGGGTCATACAAAGTTGCATAAACCTTGTCACTAGGTAGATAAAGCTGTAAGTAGTTTACTTTTTAAAACAACAGCAAATGAAGGAAGAATGATAATATTGTGTGTCTTTTTTCCAGCACTGAGACCTTGGATGTGTTCGCTCACGAAGATGCAGTGTACGGCCTTTCAGTGAGCCCAGTAAATGACAACATCTTTGCCAGTTCATCAGATGATGGCCGGGTTCTTATTTGGGACATCCGAGAGTCTTCCCATGGAGGTGAGATCTCTAGATGGAAAAGATGATTGATTTTGGAAGAATTTGGGCAAGGCAGGGAAGGAAAACATGATGTTTCTCTGGGGCAATCAGGGCAGGGAGTGTTGGAGTGACAGCGAGGCATAATTCTTGTGGCCAGTGGTAGGCAAGCCCTGGTCTTTACAGTCCATTGTCAAGGTCTTAAATAACTTCATAAAGTACCAGCATACAGTGCACGCTAGCACAGAACTTGGTCTGAATAGTTTCTAACTTGAGTAAAGAAGCAGCAGAGGACATGTTTATCCACTAAAAACATCTTGCTAAACTTGAAGTCAATTAGGAATGTGGAGTATTGTTTTGTTTTGTTTTGTCTCTAGCTTGGGATAAAAAAATTTTGGACATTTAGAAAGCTGTTATTTTGGTCTGAATAATTTTCCAAAGCTGTTTATATACTTCCCAGTGACGCTGAGAATTGTTCTTATGCATAATGTTTTCTGGTTGTATGGAAAATTAGAGCCTGTATGTGATAACAGGGAAGTTGAATTACTACTTCAATCTTTGTTTTGTAAAACAAAATTGAATATGGCTGTTTTATGTAACAAACCTGCAGCTTCTCAAAACACTGCAATCTGTGTTTTTACAGCTGCAGTTTTAAGGCTGAAGAATCTCAGTTTAGAATTGTAGTTACGTAAATTTGGAGAGGAATACTTCAGTAATTGAATTGCAGTATATGAATTCTTAAGTAATGCTTTAGTAAATGAACTTGTGAGCTTATCCCATCCTAAAGAACACAAAGCTGACAAATTAGAACTGTGCAATCTGCAGGAGTACAGAATTTGTTTCCCTTCCTTCATAGCTAAAATAAACTTTCATCTTTTTTTATAAGCTGATTAAATGCAATTGCCTTAACTCATCATTTCTATTGGTCTTACAGAAAAGTTGTTTATGGCACTGAAATGCAGCTTATGTATTTTGTGACAATTTGTCCACATTTACTATTGTGTCAAAGTTGCTGTTTAACTGAATTAGCTTTTTCTATACCTAGTGAATTTGGTAATTTTTCTAGACTGAGATTCTGTGTCTTCTTGATGAGGAAATGAAAGGTGAAACAAGATGTGTTTTCTAGTCTCCTAGGAATCTTTTAGACCCTCTAGTATCATTGACCACGACTAACCAGAATTAGATCTTTCTTGACAAATTCCACCAGAATACTTGGAGTAGATTGCTATTGATGTCCTCCCTACCCCAGGAACATTACCTTTGTATAAAGAAAAATTAAATGTAATAGCACTGCCTTCAATTTTCAGTAATCTGATTCTTGCTGTGAATTCTGATTCTCTTGTGCAATTGTGATACCCCCATATCTCTTTCCCATCTGGTAATTTTATTAAAACATTCTGAAAAACAGTGCACATGATATATGTATGTCACGGGCTTTAATAAAAATATCCATGATGTCTCTTCTCTGGACCAGTCTCTGAGGAGCTCATTGGGCTCCCTCTTGCTTACAATTACACTGGGCTCCCTTACAATTACACTGAACTGTTGTCTTCCCTTCAGCCAGTTTCTTACCCCATTCAACTCCCTTTACTAATCCCAACTGCCTGTAGCTAAACTTGATACTACACCACATGTGAAATTAGCCCTGATTAGACCTACCTCTTTTCCCCTGTATACAAGGTCAGTTACTTTATCAACAAAAGGCACCACATTAGTCAGATGTGACTAATTTTTCTTTGGTAAATCCAAGTGTCGCTTCCTCCCTATGCGTTCGTTTTTGTAACATCCAAGTGATGAGACAAGACACTGATGTGGCTTCCAAACTAGAAATGGTGAAATGGTCCTTTATTGCCTTCTTGTGAACTCTACACCATAAAGATCTGTCTCTGATGGGAGAACAACCTGTTGCTGACAGTGGATGCCAGCAGTCAGTGCGACTGCCTGTTTAAATGCATCTCTGTGAAGCTTCTCTGTATTGTAAGCTATGTGCCATCTGATCTGAGGTTCTGAAATTGTATGAAATCAGGTTTGTCCTTCTTTGTTGTAATTAAACCTTGCTACTGCTTTCACTGTTGCTGAGGCTTTGAGAAGGCTGCACCAGTGAAAATGGAGTGAAGAAGTGCTGGCTGTGGTACATTTGGGGCTTTTTTGGAGTAGCGTCTTAGGTTCTCTGAATTTTAAATAAAGGGCTTTTGCACACTTATATAGGAGTCCTGAGTCAGCATTTGTGTGTGAGCCCTGCCAATGTTTACTACAATATAATGCTTTTCAGTGGGGTAATCTCCTTGTCTGCAATCGTATCATCATGGGAATAGGCGCTATGCCTGCCAGCCTTAAGTATAATTAGTTACCCCGAGTGGCCAGCTCATTAAAATCTTTGAAATAACCTCCTGGTTTAAAATAGCGCATTAAAAGAAGCTGGAAAAGGAGTTTCATTCCCCTTCTGTTTCTCCCTGTCTTTTGCTGCTGAATGATTTATGCAATAATTTTTATAAACCCACTTTTAATTTTTGTTAGAGATGGTGTTGAGCATCCCCCTTTAGAAATATTTTCATACTCCAGTATATAAGAGTACAATTGTGAATGAGCATAAAGAACAATAAAAAAGTAATCCCCCTGCTTTTCATTAAAGTGACTTAGTGCTTCATTAGTTTAACTCCTGTAATCTCTCTTTAATTTGACAGGCTGAAAGGACACTTTTGATATCTTAGAAGAGAACTCTGGTACCAGGGCAGGCTATTTATAATAAAGGGGTGAAGGAAAACACCAGTAATTAGTGACAATGATTTGACTAAACAAAGGTACACAAATTAAAAGTTTTTTTAAAAAACAGCTCCTTTATTTGGCAATCTGATAATGTTTTTATCTCCACTCAGCTAATGGCCATTGCTTCTCGGTGGGGGCTGCCATTTTAATAACACAGCCTTTTATGTCCCAGCGGGGATCTGATTTGATGATGCAAACGTAGAAGGTCAGTTTTGGTGTTAAACCTCATTTGGAGCTGCTGGCAGACCAACAGCAATTTCTAAAGCTTTGGCACAGGCTGGCAGAACAAAAGTTTGCTCCTGTTCTTCCTTTTACCTCTGCCTCCTTTGACAATTAATAGCACCAGGGAGGTTCAGCCAAGGTCAGACACCTTTGTTTTGATCACTGCTAAATGAACACTAAAAAGGAAGGACCCTGTGTCAAAAAGCTTCTAATAGAGCATAAGAGGAGGATACAGATGGGGCAGGACAAGTAAACATTAATTCTGTCTCAATTGCTTGATGAGCAGTGGTTTCAGAAGGTATGGAGGATTTGGGAGGGTTATCTGGTTAATCATATTTTATATGTTTTATGAGGGATATGAGGAAAGAAAATGAAGTACCTTTGGAGGCACTTGTGGGGCTAAAGGTGCCTGTACACAGTGGCTCAAATAAGGGCAGTAAGAGAGTCTCCCAAGCACGTGAGCAACACAGTGGTTGCATCAAAGCAAACAGTGAATGGAAAAGTCCGGCATAATCCCTGGCTCAAAGTAGGCATTTATTCTGGTTTCTTAGTTGAGTGAAAGAGTGGCAGCATGCATACAGACAACAAAAAGAATTAGACTATGCCTAAAGCCATAAAACTAGCAGAAATGTACAGAGAAGGGTGATAGTCCAGGCTTTTTCTCCACTCTTCATGGAGGCAGCATTTTGACCATATGAATAGGGCAGAGAAGCGGCCAAACACAGTCTTGTTACACTAATCGACATGAGAGGGAGAGAGTTCTTAATTCTGTGTGAACAGCAAAATCCAACTGTTAACATTTTTATGCAAGAGGAACACCCTTTTTGTCTGCTATGCAGGTGGCAGGCTTCTCTTCCCAGGGTAGGCAGCTTGCTTTGAGCTGAGTTCCATACAGGCTTATTTCACTTTCTGTAGTATTATTCTCCTATGTAAGCAGTTGCTGCTACATTTACAGTTTGGGTGATTGTCAATGGCTGTAAAAGCTTCCAGGTACATATTGTTTGGAAACTTTCAGAAGCCCCCTTGTATGTAGTCCTTATTAGGTGACCGCTTGGTCATGAACCTTAAGAAGATTCATGTACTTGATCTTTAAGTGGCTAGTTTTAAACTCTGATAACCTTCCATAAGCAAGCGTCTTGAAATCCAGTGTGTGTCCTTTTCCATATTTAGACAAAGTTAATGTACACGTGGGTGGATTTTAAAACCTCACTTTTTTTATATTGCTTTGGATGTGTCAGCTTGAGAAATAGTTTGAACATGTCTCTGTATCTTCAGATCTTGTTATGCTGTTTCCATGTTAAGCTGCCAAACTCACTGCATTGAACAGTTGTATGTATTGTTTGTTCTTATGTCTGAAATGTTAATTTTTTCCACAGAGCCCTTCTGCTTGGCACACTACCCATCAGCCTTTCACAGCGTGATGTTTAATCCAGTAGAACCCAGATTACTGGCTACTGCCAACTCTAAGGAGGGTGTGGGACTCTGGGATATTCGTAAACCTCAGAGGTAAGATTTGGCTGTCCTTATTAGCCTTGTTTTATGCTGTGCTATCTCCTTCCCTTGAGAGGTGATGGCATGCCACTATTCTTTCTTTTATTTTTAAGTCGGAACATACGATGGTAAGAAAAGAAGCAGAACAAAGTTAACAGCAATGTTAGTAATGCTGAATTCAGTTATTTTGCAAAATTAACATTCTTCTTCATACGTACACTCTGATTTAAAAGGGGGCTAGGTCTTCAATGTTAAGGTAAGTGATTTTTTGGAAGCCTCTCTGGCCTCACCACTGCGGATGAACTCATATTGTTGTGTCAAGTTTGCATCATTATATTTAGCACTGACTTGCTAATACTGGCAGAAGCCATGGTGGACACTGCTTGGTTTACAGTTTGTTTATTCTGCCCAGCTAAGTTTTCAGTGGCTGACCAGAGATTATGGTCGAGGGAGCTTTTTACTCAATGCTTAATTGTTTTATATGACTTCCTAAACACCTGGATAATCAGTTTGGCTGCATAATGTGCTTCGAGATTTGCATAGGTCTTTAGACAAATGAAAAGAGAGTAAGTTTGCAGCTTGAAGTGTGGTCAGACTGGGTTTTAAAGTGGATGTATGCAACGTCTGATACCAGAGTTTCACATGCATGAGAGATTACACTTCTGTTGAAGCCTTTTTCAATCTTTCAGATTTTGAAAGTAATTTCCGTTTTTTATCATAATAATCAGAAAAAAATTTGAGCACCTCAAGTAAATGTTTCTCCCACCCCCCCCAACTTTTGTGTTTACGTATTTCCAGTTACAAGTGTAAGTGTAGAAACAATAATTTCAAAAAAGTAAAAAGAGAGGAAAACAGGTGGTACTTTTACAGTGCAGTAGCCTCAGCTATTTAAAATCTTTCATAGTGTACACTTGACTCTCCCCTTAATGGTGAATTTCTTGGAATACCTAGAAGTGCATATCACTAAATACTCTTATTGGGTTTGTGCTGTACAGACACTAAAAGCGATCTCATACAGAGATAATTATAACTGGCTTAAAAAGAAATCTAAAATGTTTAGACATCCATTACAATAGCAACCAAATTATGGTTTCAGGAGGATTTATTATTCTTACATTGTAAACATTAATGATTTGAATTGATTTTTGTTTTTAAGCTTAAATAAAAATTTGCAAACTCATGCTGGTGGCTCCAGAGCTCACATTTTGTAAAGTTTGCCAGAGCCCTTGTTGGCAGCTCTTCTACAGTCTGCTATTAAACTTAGGTTTGATAAAACTTAACTGGGAAGGAGTTAGGAAGTTGCCTAAGCTATATGCTCTTATCCTTGTCAAACTCCTTATGTCTGGCTCTTAATGACTTTCTAACATCAAATTAATGTCAACATTTACTGGATAGAGGGAGAGAAATACATGACATTAGGGTTATTTTGTTCTTACAAAACATGTTTCTTGGGTTTGGGTTTTTTTTTTTTCCCATAAAATTTCTGGTATTTTAACTTCAGTTTATGTCTGTTTTTTTCTTGTGAACTAATATGGACAATGTTGGCTTCCTCTTGCCAAGCCAGCTGGCCTCATACTGGTTTTGCAGTATTCTTTGTTTTTCAGCTTCTACCTCAATTTTGTAGTTTAAGAACTTCTGCAGATTGCATTGGTCTTGTTTTTGAAAGGGAGTTACACCAAACATTTCTCTTTTCAGACATTTTTTCCTCAGAGTGTGAATGTAAAAGGAATTATGTTGGTGGACTGATATAGCTTATGTCAATAGAAATCCTATATGGATGCAAAATTTAGATGACGTCTTTCACTTGAGTAGCAACGTGAAATGGGATCATCCCTGGAAAGGTTGTACAAGGCTAACAAGAACAGAGAGAGGGAGTGTCACTCAGGATACAAGCACTGACCCTGATAAATGCAGGAGCAGATTACTTGAGTAAAGAATTTTCCTCTTACAAATTTTAACAGCTGCTTTCTAATAGAAGCAACAGGGCCTTTTTCTTATTTTTAGATATCCTCACTAAGACTTTGATCTCCAAAAGTTTCTCAGTTTATATATAAAAGTGTTGGTGAGCTATTTCTTGGGGTGGTAGCATCTATAAGGTCATGGAAACTCAGATGATCTTGTCTAGGTGCTATCCTGCCTTCTGCCTCAGTCTTAATCACAAGGCAAAGTGCTTGATGTGAGCTTGTTAGGGGCTACTGTGTGTGTATGGGATAATAGTCCGTGCTCACACATTTTTAGCTGTATTGTGGCATTGTTCTTTCTAATCTCAAGTATAAAATAGCTATAACAAAATTAAATTGGTACTGCTTCTTGGCAAGTAATTCATATTTCTCCAGGTTTAGTACCAGTACGAAAGACTTAATTACCTCTGACAAATCTGAATTCTACAGTCAATTTTTGACTGATGGGAGGGGAAAGGGTGCCTTTACGTTATAACCTCTGTGACATCTTGAAGGCCTTGCACAATTTCATTTGGTAGAAGCTTGTATGCTTACATCTGATGGCCAAGAGCTACCCTATCTCTGATCCTAATCTGATGAAAGTAAATTTTTCCAATTAAAAAACTAAATGGTGATGGTTAAACATCATACCTTGCAACTACAGTGCTGAAATTCCTAGGTGTATACGTCACACGACTTTTTCCATGCATAGGGAAAACACCCTTATTGTACAGCTGGACACAGTGCATATGCTGTGAGTTGTTCCCTTAAGCACTGAATTTAAAGCATTTGCACCCACTGGGTGTGTTGCGTTGTGTGAAACAGGCACATCCTTCCTGCCTTGGGCTGAGCAAGCTGGAGCCTAAATGATTGCAGGTGATGCTCTCAGCTGCCACTTTCCTGGGAGAGCCATCAGCTTTCCTCCTTTGCTTGATCAGAGGTGTGCCCAAAAGGTGGTGCAGAAGGGTTTGCTTGGCTGAGGGAAAGAAAACAGCCCGAAGCACTTTGCTGCCATTGCAGTTCCTCCCAGGGAGCTCTCGGGGAAGAGCTGTGTCCTGCGAGTGGGCTTCCAACGCCAGAGTCCCTCAGCTTTAAATAAATCAGAACAGGAATTTTAGTCTTTAGTAAAGTAACAGAGCATTTGTGGAAACTCCCTCTGGTATCTGTAGATCTGGTTTGTTAATCTAGAAATATGGAACTTGATTTTTAAATCAACGTGTTTGGAGCCAATTTACTTTGTCTTATAAGGAAACAATTTTATTAAATTGTGGATCAGTGAAGATAGGATCCATGCTGCAGTAAGGAAATAGAAGCCAGAATTTAGATTTTCGTCTGTGGGTTTTAGTTTGTTACAGTCTCTTCTGGGGAAGATACACTCTGAAGTTAATTGTCAGGAAAAAAAGAAGTTTTGTTGTTAAGGATGAAGTAATCCACATAATGCTGTAAGCACTTGTGGTAAACTTGACATAGAACTGAAGTTGGTATGTGAGGAAGTTTGTGTATATTTTCTGTATTCTTATTAGTAATAAAGGACACAAAGTGTAGTTTCAGGTAGGGTGTGTGCCAAAAGCATTAATTTTATAGGCAGAATGGATTAAACAGCCCTGAAGTTCTCTGTAATCTAGGGATAAACAGGAAGCTGCCTGTGTAACTTGCGTGCCAGAACACTAGCACAGCAAAGAAGCGCTACTGCATCAGCTGCTTTTCTCATTGCCAAAAAGTCTGCTAATGGTGGAAATCCTTGCTTCTCTACGGGTTTGTAGCTTGATTTTATACTGTCATCGGTATCCAAGAAAATGTGACACTTCCTGAGTTATAGGAAGGGTGAGGGAATAGAGACTTTTGGGGGACGTGACGTAGAAGGATTAATGTGCTGGGATTGTTGAATAACATAACATATAACTACAATATAAAATTGCTACATCAGTCTATTCCTTCCCTAGCCTACCTTTTTATTTCTTTGCTGTGCATGAAGCTCACTTGTGAGGGACTTTATTTTATGCTGTAAGCTGTCAATGGAAATTCCTGCTTTCCTTCAGTGTTGATGTTATCCTTCATGATATTGTGGCCATCATGGGAGGTTTTCCAGTCCTATTGTTCTTCCCGTGGTGCTAGCAGAAGTGGCTAGATCGGGTGATGTCTTGTCTTGTTTTGTCATGGTGTGTGGTAGTGGGATTTTGATTAGCAGTTGAATGGGTAGAAAGAAGGGGAAGAAGTGTAGGTGCTTTTAGATGTTTGCTGTGGATTGCCAAAATCGTACCTACCAGTGGGTTAAGCAGGGCTGCAGCGCTCCTCCAACATGGGGAAGGTGAAATGGTGATATGTAGTTAATAATTTGCTGCTAGTATAACACTTCATGTCAAACTCATTTACCCCGACTACTGTCCTGTTCTCTGTCAGTAGAAGCAGAATTAAACTGACACAGCCACTACTTGGTTTGCTTCATAACTGGAGACTGTTTTGGGGAATCCTGCTGCTCCCCTGCGAAATCCAGAACACAAATGGAAAGCCTAGAATTCTGAAGACTAACTAATTGTGGCAAATAGCAGTACTGTAGCTAGCAATACCTTCACATAACGTGTATTACAGCCAGCAGCACCGATGCAGTAATACTCTTTACAGACACAGGTGGGGTCTGATAAGCCCACAGCATTCAGGTGACCTTCACTTATTTGAAGGGGATCAGGTTTAATGCTGAACTTCTGGTTTTAATCAACAGAGACTCCTCAGGTTGAGGTATAGTTTTACTTTGTTCAGTTTGATGATGCACTGTCAGAAAAGGGGTGATTTGCTGTTAACTTCTAAACTTGTATGGCACTCAGTGGAATATGGCTAATTATGCAGTTTTAAATTAATAGCTCTGAATTTTCAGTATCTTGAATGGAGTAGTGATATACTAGTAGGTTAGAGAATTCAGATATATATTCCACTGCTTGTCACAAACAAATGAACTGCATCTCCTTATTTATCTGGAAAAATCTGTGGATTTTTACACCAGAGTATATTTTTCCAAAATAGACAGCTCATCTCCAATTGGGTTATAGGAGAATTTGTCTTCTAGCTTGCTGTTACATG